TTCTCTGTGAATCTACAAGTTTACAAGTGAGAAGAGAGCTGCCCTTGGCCCCTGCCTCCCACCACCCTCTTGTCACACTCCCTCAATCCTGCCTGGGTCTTTGATGGGAGGAGTTCCCCATGGTGACAGTCTTGAAGATCCTGAGGATGTTTGAGGGGGTCAGATAGAAGGGTTCAGGCTGAGATGAGACCATAAAACTTATACCTTCCCTCATACCTGCGTTCTGTGGCCTCCCTCTTCTCCCCACCCCCTTGATTTTGGCATGAGATTTAAAAATGAACAGAAACAACTTATTTCTGGGAAACTGGGGGAGATACACATAAGCACCCAGCCCATATTTAGCATATTTGGCAAGAATACCCTCCCCATTCATTCTTCTCCACTCTGCAAATAGTTAAAAAAATTTTTTAAAAAGCCTTTTGACTTTTTCAAAATTACTGAGTTCAGTCCAGCCTTGCCCAAAGGTTATTGGGAGGGGAAGGCAGAGGCTAGAAGGGCATGGTGCTCACGTCAGCACAGCAGAGATTTGTCTGCACAAGCTAAGAACACCTAAGTGACTAGGGTGAGGACATGGTGTCCTGCAAAATCCACTTCCCCACTGGTGGGCCTGGAGCAAGTAGCCGCCTCCAGCTGTGTTTGTTCGCTTACTAGGCCCCTCTGGCTCTCACTTCTCACATGGGTAAACAAAAATAAATCAGTATGTTTATTTTAAAAAAAAAACAACCCACACACACACCAAAATCCCTACTTCTTCAAACTATTAAAAATTAAGGATCACCACTACCAACAAAAACAATAAAAAAAAAATACAGACAGATCCCAGGGTTTCTAAAAAACAAAAAACAAAAACAACTCCAAAGCCCAGCCAACAATTTTCTAAAGTAGCAGAAACTCCCTCCGAGGTAGATATCTGAGTCAGACACTCTTGTCCACCGAGCGATTCTATTGGTTTAAGATGAGCTGCGTATGAGGTAATAAAGCCGTCTGGAGGGGCAGAAGGTCAGGATGCATGGGGTGGGGGTGGGGGTGGGGGCCCAGGGCCTCTGTCCAGGAGTCCCCATTTTTGGCATCTCTGGGTCGGGCAGGGCTGACGTCTCCAGATTCCAGAGTATATAAGTGGGGTGGGGAAAAGAGATACGGAGTCCAGAGACAAACAGAAGAGTTGTATGTCGGTGCAGGTTTGAGAGAGAGATCTGAGAAACAGATATGTTTCCTGTGTGAGAGGGAAAGAGAAGAAAGGAAAAGGGGACACCCCACTTTCCCTGCCATGTCGTCAGCACCCCAGCACTGGGTCTAGTTGGGGAGAGCACGACCCCAGTCGCCCTTCCGTTTTGTGCTTCTGTCGGGGTTTGTCCTTTAGATGCCCAAGTCCTCTTCAAGGGCTGCCTGGTGGGAGCCCCCAGCCCTGTGACCTTGAGGGGCAAGGTCAGTTGGAGGTGTCAGAGTGAACACTTCCCGGTCCCTCTGTTGGGGATGTCACTGAGGACGGGGTCACAGCCTCCTGCCAGCCGCCATTGGCCTGGAAAAGAGAGAATGAAAGTCAGTATGAGAAACTCACCGGGCGGTGGTGGCGCACGCCATTAATCCCAGCACTCGGGAGGCAGAGCCAGGCGGATCTTTGTGAGTTCGAGGCCAGCCTGGTCTACAGAGTGAGATCCAGGAAAGGCGCAAAGCTACACAGAGAAACCCTGTCTCGAAAAAACAAAAAAAAAAAGAGAGAGAGAGAGAGAGAGACCCTGTGGGGGATCACACTTCTGTCCTGTGAAAGCCGGAAGCTGGACACAGCCGGGCTCTGTGATCCACTCACCCGCATTTCTCGAGGACTGTAAATCTGGCCTCCCCCGAGGTTATCCCCATAGCTCCCTGGCCCCATTGAGTGTCGGAGTGATTCCACCTGCAGGGCACAAAGGAAGGCATGACACAGGGAACAGACAGGCCTTGTATGCTGGGGGTGGGGCCAGGGACATAGCTCAGCAGCTAAAGGTGCTTGTCATGCAAGCCTGGTGATCCGGTCCGCAGAACCCACCTAAAGTCAGGAGATAACCGGCTTCACCAGGCTGCCCTGACTTAGCACATGTGCAGTGAGTGGCACGTGTACCTGCCCCCCACCCCCACCCTGTCGTGCACACAATGAGGGAAAAGAGGAGGTGGGGCGCCAGACCTGGGAAGCAGAGTAGGAGTCTCCATTGAGCCCGGGCATCCCCAGAAACATGTCTCCGGATCCTGAGAGATTGAAAGAGCCGCCAGAGCCTTGGAAGAGCATTGAGAGAATCAGAGGAAAGTACAGGGGACTGTCGGACGGACTTCGGACGGTAGACAGGAAGGAGATGAACATAACCCTTAGCTTCCAGAAAGCTAACTCTGGGAATGCACATGGACTGCATACAAATTATCCAGATAACAGCAGCCCCACCCTCAGAATAGGCTACTCCCCCCCCCCCTTACCCACCAAAGGCCCCTCCCCTTGACATCACCACCCCTGGTCTCTTTCACCCCAAAAAGTCCTCTTTGCTGTCATCTTGCATAGACAGGAAGCATGCAAAGCAGCCAGCTAGAGTGGCAGTGGGCTGTACCTGCAGAGGAAGGGGGCGTCGGGGAGCTGGTGCGGCTGTGGCCCCCCTGGGCGACTGACACAGCTGTCTTCACAGCATAGATATTTGCCTCCTCTTGGAATTTCCCAATATTCTTCTTATAGCGAATTCGCTTGTTACCAAACCAGTTGGAAACCTGCAGTGTTGGGCAGGGAGGGTCAAGCAGAACCCTTTCTCCAGGACCCCCTCCCCAAGTAACATCTGAGAACGCTTTGCCCCTGGCCCCCCAGAATACCTGAGAGACAGTGATGCCGCACTTCTTGGCGAGCTCCTCTTTGGCCTCCTCACTGGGATAAGGGTTACTCAGGTGAGAGTAGAAATACTCATTCAGGACCTCGGTGGCCTGTTTGCTGAAGTTCCGGCGTTTTCGTCTACAAAAGGAGAGAAGTGTTGAGCGTGCCAGCAAACTCCAGGAGGAAGTATCATCATAGTGCCCTCCTGGGCAACATGGTGGCCCCGGAGAGGTATGGGAGGGAGCCAGGTACGGGGTGGGGTGGGGGTGGGGGCCGCAGGCTCAGGGGTCCCTGAGCCCCACCTGGCATCCAGGAAGCGAGAGCGCAGGATCATGACCGCCTCGCAGGTGCTCTGCTTCAGCTGCATCTGGATGGCGCTGAACTTGCGATGGATGATGCTCACCATACGCTCCATCTCCTTGGGGGCCACAGGACGAGTGCGGCTCTGCTCCCTCAGCAGGTTCATGACGTGGGTTGTGAACTCATTGCATGCCTATTGGAGCAGGTGGGCTGGTGAGGAGCCCTGTGCTTGGGGAGGCCCCTTCAGTCTAGACCCTCTCACTCACTGGGCCTCCTCTCCTCACCTGCTCATACTTCTCCAGCTCTGAGTGGTAGATGTGGCGGATCTGGGCAAGCTTGCTTCGATAGTCTGAGTGTTCGATGGAGTTGTCGGGGGACACGCCACCTCCGGAGGCTGCGGCGGCTGCAGCCGCTGCTGCGGAGCCGCCCCCCTTCTCTGGTCCAGCCACACCTTCTGCCAGAAGCATGTTGTCCAAGCGCATCAGCTGTGGGTCCACTGGCTCCTCCTCTTGGGAGCTCCGAATGCTAAGGCCTAGCAGGCAGGCAAGTGGACTTAGGGCCCCAGGAACCCCTCACCCAGTGTTCCAACCTCCTAGTGTCTCCTGAAGACCCGGCCCCCAGGCTTTGGCTCCTTCCCACTCCCTTCTGAGCGGCCGCCCTGGGTCTCACTTTCCTCAGGGCTTCAAGCTGTCAAACTCTGCGCCCTGGGGTGAGCAGAGTCCAGTTCCCAGAGGTGAGTCACAGGGACACCCACGTACCAGTTTTCTCCTTGATCTCACACAGGACACTAAACAGGGCCGGCTTCATTCGGTGGCAGTTTAGGGCGTGTTTCCTTAGGAGGAACGGGAGGAGAAAAAGTTCAGGGCCAGGAGAGGAGAGGGGTGCCAGGAAACAAGGTGGGGGACGTCGGAATGGGGGTGGAATGGAGTTGGAGGGGTAGTTCTTGAGGAGAGATCAGCTGCCATAGCTCCGGGAAGCTGCTGGCCCAAAGGAAGCAGAAGGTGCAGGCAATAGGGCTAAAGTCACCGTGGCCGGCTGAGGCTGAGGGAGACGGTGCAAGCAAAAAGATGGAGAAAGGATCTAGAGATGACTGAGGAAACGAAGGTGACTAGGTGGGTTCTGGAGTAAGGGAAATAGAGGCTGAGATGGAAGAGCTTCAGTGCGAGGTGGCAGGGGGCCTGGAGGGGGTGCCCCCCTACCTGGCCGTTCAGTACAGTGTGTGGGCTGAGCAGAGGGAAAGGCTGTGAGGACTCTTGGAGGCCCCAACCACGGTGGAAGGGAGTGTGTGGAGATCCTGGATCCGAAGAGAATGGGGTGGGCTAGCCGGACAGTTAGGGAAGACATCGTCGCTGAGAACAGTTTCTAAGTCTGGGAGCCAGGAGATGGGCGGGTGTAGAGTGTTGGGGTCAGCAAAAGGTTAGGAGGGAAGGGGACCACCTGGGGTTCCCTCTGTGAGGTTTCAGGGCCTAGGGGCAAAGCGAGCTTTGAGAGACCACTAGAACTAAGGGAAGAAAAAGAGTTGCCAGATCCAGAGAGGGCCCTGGGGGAGGGGGGCTTGCAGAGGACCCCGAGCTGTGAGCAGGGTCCCGGGGTGGGGGCACTCACTTGGCCTGGGCCTCGTCCAGGCTCTGGTCGGTGATGGTCATTATCTGTTGCAGAATGTCCCCGATGTCTTGCTTCCCTCGGCCTCCCGGGACCCCCCCACTTCCCCCTCCGGGGTCTCCGGCACCGGGAGGCTCGCCAGGGCCCCCGGGCTCCCCACCCACCAGCCCCAGGCCCCCCCGGCCCCCGCCCGGAGGGGGCGGCCCCAGCAGCCGCTCGTCCATGGCTGGGGGGGGCCCTGAGGCCCCCTCCCTGCTCGCCCCTCCCCCCGCCGGTGACTCTCCCCCCCAAACTCGCCGGGGCCGCTGCTCCCTCCGCCCCAACCCCGCCCGGCAACCCGCCTCCCGGCTCCCTCCGGGGGTTCACCCCGGCACTGAAGGGGAGACCTGGGGTGCCGCCTGGGCACCCCCACAGGAGACCCCGGCCCCCGGCGGCGGAGAAAATGGAGCCGGAGAGAGAGAGAGAGAGAGAGAGGAGGCCCAAGCGGGGGTGTGTATGCGAGAGGAGGGAGGAGGGAGAAGGGGGAGCGAGGGAGGCGGCTGGGGGAGGGGAGCGGGAGGAAGAGGAGGGGAGGAGAGGAGGAACGGGGAGGAGCCGGGGGCGGGGAGACGCAGGCCGGGCGGCGGCGGGTGGAGGTGGGGAGCGGCCGGGCAGCCCGGGAGAGCCTGGGCTGGCCCCGGGGCCGGCCGAGCGGGCGCCGGGGTCGGGGGTGTCGGCCACCGGGGCTCCGAGCTCACCGTCGGGGTGGTGCGGACTCCGGCCGCCGGAATGTTCTCCGACAGCTCGGTTCATATTTCTTGTTCTAATGACTCCCCTCCCTGTTCGACTTAATTAAAACAGGGAGACGGGGGGCTGGGGGAGATGATTAGGGAGGTCTCCAGCCGCTGCTTAATGAGCCAGTAATTAACCAGCCAGGGAGGGGAGTTGGCCTCTGGCCAGATCGCGGAGAGCGGCGGCCCCAGGTCTCACCTACCCACCTCGCATACCCACCCCACCCCCCAGATACCAGTCTTCAGTCCAGGAGGGAATTGTATTTATTCATACAACCAAAACATCAGACAGACTCAGCAGCGGGGGGGTGGGCGGGGCTAAGGTTCGCTCCACAGCCTCGGGTCCCCTCTGCCTTGGGCCTTGGGGGTGCTAGTGCTGATCAATTGTCTTAATCTTTTCCTTTTTTTTTTTTTTTCTTTTCTTTTCTTACTAGGCAGGAAGGGGCAGGCCTCAGCCCTCACACCCTGTTTAGTAGCTTGACAGCTCAGGATAGATAGAGACTCTTAACTGTCTTAAGGAGTTATGTCCACCCTACCTTGCTTATTCTCAAGGTTAGAGTACTTGTCCCAAGTCCAGTTCCCTGGGAAAGTGGGTGGTAAATACTGCAGTTTCAGCCGGGTCTTCAGTCTCTGGTACCCCTGCCGCCGAACGGGCATGTGGGGTGGCCCAGCTTTGAGTCCCAGCGAGAGGGAGCTGTTTGGGAGCTCAGGTCTCAGCAGGTGTGTGTGGGGGCCGAGATCTTTGCTCCTCCATTCGACCTCCACCCTGAACTTTGAGCAGCAACTCCAGGAGCTCCTGTCCCCCGGGGGGAAGGGGCGGCTCTGATCGCTGGGTTTCCATCCGCTGGCACTAGAGATGTGGAAGGGGAAGAGGGCATTGGTGGTCGGGTGGTGGGTTTGGGCAAGAGGACCAGGGTTGGTGTAGGGCAGATAGGAAATATATGATGGTGATGACGGGGAGTTGAGGCTGGCCAGGGGATATATGCTTTAGGGAGGAAGAAGTTAGGGCTCAAACACAAGGCCAGCAAGGGGTGGTGGTGTAGTATGTCTGCCTTACCTGGTGACTAAGGATGGTGCTGTAGAGCTGTTCTTTGTCCTCGAGAAGCCGAGGTGGGGTTGGGGCTAGGCTTGGGGGCGCTTTGGGGGGATGGAAGGTGGCCCTCTGTTCCTCTAGGCGGCGGGACTGGGCCTCAGCCACCAGGTCCAGAAGGAGCTCGGTCTGCAGGGAGAGCAGGGAGCCCGAACGGGGCCCCAGGGCTATGGGAGAAGAGGGAGGAGGGCTAAGACCCAGAGGCGGAGGTAGAGTGGTGTAGCGGGCGGTGGGCACAGGTAAGCTGGCGGACTCTGGGTTAGGGACCAGCAGTGAGCAGCTACGGTGGTTAGTGGGCCTACACTGGGGTAGGTGATGGGTCAGGATCTCCCAGGGTTGGTGGGGTACCTGTGTGGCGGGTTCCTGGAGGAGGAGGGGAGGGAGGAGCAGATCGCCAAGGTCGAGTGGTGGAGTTCACAGGGGGCCAGCCCTGATCATCTTGCGGGGGACCCTGATGCCAAGACATGTCCATTCCAGTCAGATGAGGGGTGTGGGCAGAGGGCTAGGCCAGTCACCAAGCTTTTCCAAGTCTCCTGTACCATCCGCCTCTAGGTCCTCACATGCCCCTTCTCCCTGTGCTGGCCTCCCCACCCCGGCACCCTGCTCACCTGTTCACCTTCCTCTTCTTCCTGGGGTCTTTCAGTCTCCATCCCTGGCCTTGGGGAGAGACACTGATGGGGGAGGGGTGACTGGTATTTGGAAGGAGGACTGGAACCCTGGGTTCCTGAGGGGAATGGGGGCTGGAAGGGGTGGGGGTGAGCTGGGGGCTGGATGCCTGGGTACTGAGCAGGAAGCGAGGTTCCTGGTCAGCCCCCCCCATGGGCCCCGCCCATCTCTGTCAACTTCCTCCATTCTCTTTTCCCACCCAAACAGCTTGTTTGACCTCTCTTGCCCCAGGGGAGGACAGAGACTGGGAAAAAGTCCCGCTGCAGGATGGAGCAGGCTCCTGACAGGGACAGACTCTGGCCTCCTCATTTCCAGAGCCTCACTAACCCCTTAGCCTGCCCCACTGCTCTCTCCACCCCACCTCCCCTTCAGCTCTTCTCTGTCAGCACCGGAACTAGCTATAACACAGGAAGTGGTTTCACTCTTTGGGATCCCCCTCCCCCAAACTAGGTTCTTTCTCTCCAGGCTAAGACTGATCCTGCTGTAGGACTTGGTCCTTCTCACCTTCTCTCTTGACTTACTGGGTCAAGGAAGGGCATGGTTCTGGAAGGAAGCAGAAGGCTTGGATCCGGGATGCATTGCTCTCAAATACATGCGCATGTCCTAGCACTGGCCCAGCACACAGGAAGTCATCAAGGACCGGCAGTTGACTAGTTATCACTGCCCTCAGCATTACCAAGTGTGAGAGAATGGTCACTGGCAGCTGAGCTAGTGTAGACAAAGGTCAGGGGAAGACTTGCCTGGGGTCACGAGAGTGGGATACAGAACTTAGTTTGGCTTTTGACCAGTTCTGGTTAGCCCCCAGGGGGAGCGGGACAGACAACAGGGGTCTTCAAATGGCTCTCTGCCATGTGAAGTTAGAGCTGAGTGGCTTGGGGCATGAAAGGGGATGAAGAGAGCCCTGCGATCTTAGGTGAACGAAATCTCTGTGCCTCAATTTGTGAAAGGGTAAAGTGGCCTTTGGTGGCACTTAACTCAGAGAGTTAGGATGGGTTAATTGTAGTGAGGCCCTTGGCACATGGGGGATGCTCTATAAATGGTGGCTGATAATCTTCCAGAATGCCTCAAGGCTGCACATCACAGGCTTGTCAGTATTGAGGTAAAGCCATGAGGCTGAAATTCCAGTTCAAGTTCCTCCTGTCTTCCTTTATTTGAGACCTTAGGAATCTCCTGTTATAGCTAAATGCCCTTGGATGAGGAACAGTATTTGTCACCTTGTATATTTGTTTTGACTATTAGAGATTCTCGCCTTCAGATGAAACCCCAAATGAACTGGGATCCCCAGATTGTTTGCCCTTAATTATATTTAAAAGCCCCCTACCTATATAGATGAACCTAGAATACTAAATTCCCCAAACACTATGCACTGTCCAGGTCCCCAGACAAATTGAGTAACACTTTAAATCAGCTTTATTATTCATGAGTTTGGGGTTCTTAGAGATAGCAGTGGGTAGAGAGCAAAGCCTCATCCCTGCGCCACTTGGGGGGTGGGTGGGAGGGGCAGAGGGAGTGCAAGGAATCATCAGCTGGAGGGGCTATTGGTTGCCTTTCATCATCTACACAACGCCTGCCACATAGTAGGTGCTCAATAAATACTTGCCAGCTACTTGTGGGTAGTGGATCGCAGAGGTTCCCTTTGGGAAACCATAAACAAGAAACATTTTACACCCAATTTGCCGACAGTTCTTGGTTCCAGTCTAGGGATTCTCAAAATCCACTTTGTCCTCTTGTAGCTGCTCTATTTTCCAGGAAGAGCCCGACATGTGCCATTCGGGCATCCTAAACCCTCTTCCCAGTGCTGTGCATACTCCATGGGGAAGACAAGCGAGCATAATGCTAAATCTGGAGTCTTCCAGACTGCCTGTCACTCCCTTCCCTCCATGCAGCTGCCTAGTTTTGAGTCTCTCCACCCGAGTTTAAGGGCACCTCTTGGTGGACTGGAAGACCCCAGGCAACTTGAGGGGATCCGTGTTCTGGGGATGGGGTCAGGCTCGGAGGCGGGATCGGCGCACTGCCGGCGGAGCTGCAGGTTTCCAGGGCCACCCAGTCGCGAGGCCAGTCATCCTGTGATGCCCTGGCCCCGCGTCGCCCACGGGAGCCCGCGGAAAACCTGCGGCCGCGCAAGGGAGGGCCTACGGAGCCTCCGGACCGGCTCCGGCAGCGCGCATAGGCTGCGCCCCCGCGCGCCCCCAAGTCCACGGACCAAGTGCGAGCTTGCAGACTGGCTCCGCCCCCGCGCGGGCGCGCTCCCGCCGACAGCGTCCGGCAGCGCGGCGCGGCCCCGCCCCCTGGCGCGGTGCGTGCGTGCGTACGGGCCTCCAGCATGGGCGGCCCCGCCCCCTCCAGTAGCGTCAGCAGGTCCCAGTGGCTTCGCTGGCGGGCCACATCTCCCGGGGCCAGCCCGGCCTGGTCCCGCAGTCCTCGGGCCGCCCCGAGCTCCAGCAGCAGCTGCGCCACCTCCACGGCTCCTTCGCGCGCCGCCAGGAACAGCGGCGTCTGCTCCTGCGGGGCGGAGACCGGAAAGCCCGGGGGCGGTCAGAGTCCCCGCCCACCGGGTGTCAGTCTCCTCCCGCCAGACGCTGGGCCCGCCCCCTTTGAGCTTTCTGGTTCCCCGTGCTTTTGGATTGTTCTGTGGGGAGTCTGCGGCAGGGGCTCACCCTGCTGTCTTGGGCATCTTTATCAGCTCCAGCCTGGAGGAGGGAGCGGGCAGCTCGGGCGTTGTTCACAGCAGCGGCCCAGTGCAGTGCGGTTTTTCCTAGGGTACCACATGGGAGCCGTTACCCCATAGCAGTTGGGGGACCAGACTCCTGCGTTCCAGTTTCCCACGGGTTCTGGCCTTGGTGATATGGGGGGAGGAAGGGAGAGCTACTTGGGTTCCTCAGAGGCGGGAAGCGTTGCCCTGGCAACCGACAGTCGGCTGCAAGCGATGCCCTGGTGACGTCATCGGCGCGCGGGAGGGACAATGGGTATTGTTCTGGATCGGTGGGACCGGGGTATCCCCATCCCGTTCCCGCCGCCGATACTTCTTCCATCCCGCATTCATGGACTGAGGCAAGATGTGTAGTTGACGGTGAAGGGGAAACTCTCTCCATACCACAGCACAGGAGGGGTGTCCTCTAGTCTGTCCCTGCTACGCCTGCTATTTGAACCTCACCTCATTCCCGCTCTGCCCAACATTCCGATAGCACAGCGGCTCCAGTCATACCCCTTTTATCTCTGGCTCCCACATCCGCTCGGGCGGCGATCAGTTCTTCAACCAGGTCCTCCACTGCCAGCCTGGCAGCCAGCATCAGAGGTGTAGTCCCGTCCTCTGTGCGTGCATCCACAGCAGTCCGTCTGCTAGCCAGTAGGAGCTGGGGAGGCAGAAAGGGCCTGTGACCCCTGCGTTACCCTGGACTTCTAGGTCAGGCCCCTCACGCTTTTGTTGTCTGTTTTGGTTTTGAGACAAGGTCTGGGACTCCTAGTGATCTGGCTGCCTCTGTCTCTCCAGTGCTGGGATTAAATGGTAGGCCCTCCAACCCCTCTCCCGTCGCTGCCTAACACCTTCCTCTTTCAGGTCTTCGGCTCAGTTTCCTCTTTGTCAAACCCTAGAGGAGGCCGCTCCATTTTACTAGCAAGCTTACTCCTACTTCCTGCAGGGACCCCAGTGAGTGCTGACCTGGCAGACCTCCCGAGCATCAGCAGCCACTGCAGTGTGAAGTGGGGTACGCCCTGCCTGGTCAGGCTGGTTGGGGTTGGCTCCAGCCTCAAGGAGGCGGCGGGCAGCAGTTGGCCTAGAGAATCGGGCAGCCAGGTGCAGGGGTGTCTCTCCAGTGCCCACAGTGTGAGTCTGGGGGCGGGCCCCTCTATCCAGCAGTGGTTCCCAGGGTTCAGGATTTCCCAGCCACGGTCCTTGGACGATGGTGGACTCCACTCCTCCACAGAAGACTGCTGACATCAGGCGTGTTACCCCATCTGTGGGTGGGAATGGATACTAGGTCAATGGGAAGAAAACAAGAATAACATGGCTGCTGGGAGAATTTCAGCCAGAAGACAAGCTCTGCCTTTTTTGGGGGTGGGAGGAGGTTGAGAAAGGGATTGAGAGAGGGTCTCACTATGCAGCTCTGACTGTCCTGGGGCTTACTAGACCAGGCTGGTCTTAAACTCACAGAAGTCCACTTGCCTCTGCCTCCCAAGTGCTGGGATTAAAGGCGTGATTCACCACTACGCCCAGCTCCTAGTGTCTCATCAGTAACAGGGGCAAGAAGGCTTTAATTCTCAAAGGTTCTCAGGCTTGAACCTGAGTCACACTTGTCTAGAGGTTTGGTTAGACTGCTCCCTGCCTCCGCCTGCCGGGAGTTTGACTTTGCATTCCTGACAGACCCCCATGTCGTACTGTTCTGTCCTAGGTCTCTGCTCTGAGAGCCACTGTTCTAAAGGTTCCAGTTTGGATTCTAATGGGCTTTGCTTCTAAAAGGGTCAGAGGTAGGATTTTGTTTTTTGTTTTGTATTGGTCTAGGTTGGTTGTGTACCAGGTCCACGAGTGTCCATGTCCAGAACCTCCATTTCACACTCTTGAGGAGGGGTCAGCATGGCTACCTGTGGGAGCTCTCCACAGCCGCTGTTCGGTGGCCAGAGCTGGCGCTTGGAGGCTGAGGCCCTTTCTTCAGCCTTGGGGTAAGAGCAAGGGACAGTGAAAGCCGCTGCCGCCGGCACCTCTGGACCATTCCCACCCCAGCCTTTTTGCCTGGTTCACCTCCTCTCCCTCCTCAGGGCCCGAGCACATGGCCACTCCATCCTCATCCACTTCTGCCTCTGGCTTCAGCGCCCTGGGTGGGGTGAGGAGGTAGGGGTTATATAGGCTAGGGCCAGTCAGCATCTCCAGCATTTCCAGAAGCCCTGCACTTCTGCAGTGGTGTTTCTTAGCACTCTTGATGCCCCCCTCTCTGAATCCCAGGCCCTTCTCAGTCTCACTTGAGACCGATGCTGTCCTCGCCGAGTGGGGGCCTCCGTCGGTGGGGCGCCTGCTGTGTCCGAGGCCTTCGAACGAAACCAGGGGGCAGCCACAGGGCCCCATGTTCTCGCCGCTGCCGCCGGCGCCGGATGAGCTGGAGGACAAGGAGAGCTCCTAGGGCAAGGAGAAGCACCCCGGCCACTGTTGAGCACAGTACAGGCCAGGGAAGCTGGCTGGCAGGGGGCCCTGGTAGGAGAGAATCACAAAGGGGGAGCGTTCTTGGTGAGACCGAGCCAGTGGAGTAGCCTGCCTCAGTTTCCTCACCCGTCTCATGTAGTTAAATGGTAAAATGCTTAGAGGAGAGCCCATAGGATATGATGTGGTATGTGTGATAGTTACTGTTCTTTTATAAGCTGGGAACCCAAGGCTGGTGGTAGGACTATGGCAGAGGTTAGTACAGAGTTCTTAGGGAAATAGGGAGGCTGCTGAATGGATGGCCCAGAGGGAGACTCCTTCCAAAGAAGGGGTGTTAGGGAGACCACGTTCCCCTTAGGCTCTCAGTCTGATCTCTCCCAGAGATGGCATGAGCAAAGGTCGAGGGAAATGGTAGGGGTCACCTACTGGTCCCCGTTTGAGGGTGAGCAGCCAGCAAGGGTCCAGGCAGCAGGGGCTCCAGGGCTCCCACGGCGGCCAGCGCTGCAAGGAAGCGCAGCAGGAGCCCGGAGTCCCAGGGACAGCGGGACGCAGGGTGTTCAGGACCACAGCGGGACAGATCCACTCCCATCACCACCACAAACCTGGAGAAGAGGTACATCAGGACTGTCTAGCCCCGGGCCCCTTCTCCAGCTCCGTTTAAATAACTAACATTTGGCCCTCCCCTCCATCTCATGCTTACCCAGCACCGAGGGGGTCTGGCTCCTTGCCCAGGGGCTGGGTGTGAGGGGCTTGTCTTTCCCATGAAGAGGAACCCCGAGTTCCGATCAGCTCCTCTTTGGCCCGGGTCCCCGGATAGGGGAACACCATGTTCCTGCCATCACTGTCCTTCCTCACCCACAGCCCGACCCTCAGAGTCAGGGACAGTACTCGGGCCAGAGCAAGCAGCTGCTGGTCCAGGGCTGAGGGACTCAGCACCACCAGCAGGGCCAGGGAGGGCCCCCACCCTGAGTCCCCATCTTCTGGCCTGCAGTCGCCCCCGTCCCAGCCACATTCAGCGCTGTGGCATCCTTTTTCACAGTGTCCATTGTGGAAGTGATCTTGGCAGTACTGGTCATAGGCTGGGCTATGGGTAGAGGAGAGGTGGACTCAGGCCTCTCCATGGCCTCTGCCGCTGTAGACGCTAAGGGTGGTGGCTGAACACCCTGACGTCTACTGACACAGTCTCCTGAGACCAACCTTTCATCCTGCCCCTCTCCCAGAAAGAGGATCCAAGACCCTTTCTCTTGGGAGCGCAGGTTGCCAGGGGAGGCATTCTATGGCAGAAAGTCTGGGGGAGGGAAGCTGAGGCCTGAGACCTGGCAGCTCTCAGGAGTCCCGACAAAGGCTGTCTGTGCCCCAGAGTGTCGGTCACTCCATTCCTCTGGGTCAGGACCCAGAGTTTTCCTTAGCATGGAAACTCCATGGAGTCCAGTGCTGATCATCCTGTAACTCGGGCATGTGTGTCTCCCCACCTCCACCCCATCCCGCCTCTCATTCCGGGGCTCCAGGAAGCTTACGTGCAGGTTGGAGGGATTTCACAGTCATAGCCATCAAACAGACACTCCTCAGAGTCGCACTGTGGGTGGCACCGCCCATCCCGGAAAAGAAGCCAGCACTGGGAATGGGAAGGACAGCCCTTCCAGGGGTCTGGGACCCCCAGGGAGCAGTCCCCTCCATCCCAGTCTCCTCCTGGGCCGCTGCAGCCAGCATCACAAGCCCCGTCACCACCTCGGCCCTCACACCCATTTGCCCCTGGCCTTTGACACCGAGGCCCTGGAGAGTCAGGAGGGCAGGAGCATTGAAAGCCAGGGTTGCCCAACCTGGGGGTCTCAGAGCAGCTACCATTGTGCAGGCAGGGTGAGGGCGGCCCACAGCCTTGTGGAGCGGGGGGGTGTCAGGCAGTCAGGGCCCCCAAAGCCACCAAGGCAGGCACAGAGGGGTGGGGAGCCTGGCTTAGGGGAGGGCAGACAGAGGCCTCCGTGGTGGCAATGATGGATGCCACAGGAAGGGGCTTTGTGGCTGCAGGTGGGGCCTTCAAAACCCTGTGGCAGAGGAGAGAGAACACAGAAGGACCTTGCATCAGTCTTCCCTGAGGCCAACGGCTGGGGTAACCCTGCACAGAGGGCTCTAGACTGTCATATACGAGAGGGACCTGGGAGAGCACCGAGGCAATCGTAATGGAGGTTGCAGCTGAGTCCCCGGCTAGCTCCACACAGTTAGTGGGAATGGGTGAAGTGCAGCTATGCAGCCATGCTCAGTTTCAGGGTCCAAGTCCAGGAAGACTAATCGGCTAGTGCAGTCGACCACTTACTGTGTCCTTGGAGACGGGTCATAGGCTCTCCCCTGCCTTCCCAGGGTTAACAGGAGGAAGGCATAAGCAGAGGAAAGTGTTTGCTATGGTGATTGCTGGGTTTGGCCCATGAGTGTTATGTTAGGATAATGAAGGTAGGTATAACCTGTTGTCCTAACTGAGCCTTCAGCCAGTTCCTGCCCTGAGCCCCTCACTCACACCTGTCCCCACACGCAGAGTTTAAAGAACTTGTCTAAAGCCATTCAAGGAAGGGCTGGTTTTGTTTCATTTTGTGTTTTGAGATAGTCTCATACAGACCAGACTGACCTCAAAGTCATTGTGTAGCCAGGGATGACCTTGAACTCTCGATCTGCCTGCCTCACCAAGTGCTGCCATCTGATTGTGCCATTCCCTGTTCCTGAGAACCACGGTGAACTTGGGCCCTCACCAGTTAGTTTTTCTGTCTCCAGAGCTTCCCACTCACCGCCCTGGGGCTCTGTTTCTGGCATTCTTACCTTTCATCGGTGTAGGGAGAAGGGAGATGGGTGTTGCAGCACTTACCTTGGGGCAGTGGCACGTGAAGCCAGGGGCTGGCCCTGCTGTGACTTCACAGGACCCTCCGTTGGAGCAGGGCTGGCTCTGGCAGGGGTCTGTCTCCACCTCACACCGCCGGCCTGTGGTGGGGGTGAGATTGGAGATCACACATGGCTTCAGTCACTGCCTCTGTGTTGCCTTGCTCCTGACAGTTGGTTCAACGCATGGTATGTGGGTAAGAGGGTGCTGGGGCATCTTCTCTGGGGAGAGGTGTGGAGGCAAAGGGTGAGAACACCAGGCTGTCTTTTGGGAGAGGACTGTCTGGGTTTTCCTGGTCTCGCTGTGCCCCAGAGACCCCAGGCCTCACCTGTGTGTCCGGGCAGACACTGACAATAGAAGGCATTGGCTAAGGAGTGGCAGGCTGCAGTGCCCGCGGGGTGGCAGGGTCGGTCGAGACACTCATCCACATCCCCCTCACAGCGGAGCCCCACAAAGCCTGGGGGGCAGGCACAGTGGAAGCCTCCAGGCCTGGGGGTGCAGGTTCCGTGGTTGTGGCAGGGCTGAGACCGACAAGCATCCTGTTCTCTCGAGCAGTTCTGTCCTTCGTAGCCTGGGGCACACTGGAGACACAGGGGGCCAGTGGGTGAGCTGAGCTCAAGGAGGTCTGCCAGCCTCCTACCTCAGCAGCTGGACTCCTCGTCCACCACAGCCTGTGTTGGGGTCGCCCGACATGCTGCTGTTCAGTGAGAGAGTTTAGCCCTCGGTCCCAAACAGTGTGACATTAAGCGTTGCCTCATTTTTGATGAAACCTCTTTCCCCTACCACCTTACCCTCCAGCCCCTCTCATGCATTATACATTGGTCTGTAAGTGTCTCTTGAATACCTGCTTGTGACATGTGCATGCGTGCGTGTGTGTGTGTGTGTGTGTGTGTGTGTGTGTGTGTGTGTGTGTGTCAGAGGACTCTTCTACCTTTTGTTTGAGACAGGGCCTCTTACTGGCTGGGAACTTTGCCGCTTAGGCCAGGCTAGCTGGCCCGCTCACTCCCCAGGGTCTGCCTCGCATCTCACCACCCACTGTCACGGGGATTACAGGCATATGCTGCTGAGCCCAGCTTTGTACTTGGGTTCTGGGGATCTGAACTCGGATCTCCAGGCCTGTGAGGCAACTGCTGTCTTAGCTGAGCCAGTTTTTTAAGTAGCGCAGATAAAGGGGGGAGAAGAGCTCATCCCTGTCCTGTGCTGCTCAGTCAAGAGAGAGACGGCACTGATGGTGCAAATGCATAGCTTTCCACCCTCCTCGTAGCAGCTGCAGAGAAGTGTTACCGCCCTTAACCCTCTTTCCACAGATAACGAGACAGTTGGCAGGAAGGCGAAGATACTTTGGAGAGTCGCACGGCCTTGTCAGGCCGCGATCGCAGCAGGACTGGCTCTGCCCAGAGCCACACTGTGGTTTTGCTTGTGAGGGCAAAGGCCCTAGTTCTACGCTTCTGCCAGATGACATGCCAGGAGGGAGGCTTTGGAGAGTCGGAGAAAAATGGACACCCAGAGAATCCAGAGAGCTGTAGGAATGCGCAGAGGGCATTTTGGAAACTTTTGGAGGAGGGAGTTTCATGAGGACATAGAGTTGAATGGTGAGTGCACAGAGGTTCACTAACCAGGATTCATTTTTCTCTTCGCTTTTGAGATGGGGTCGTCCCTAATCTTCATAAGGGTTAGTCATGGCAATGCTGGGACACATAACGAAATGGGTAAAGTGTTTGCTTTGTGTAGTGGTTTGAATAAAAATGGCCCCTATAATAGGGAGTGGCCTTGTTGGAGTAGGTGTGGCTTTGTTGGAGGAAGAGCATCACTAGGGGGTGGTCTTTGAGGTCTCAGAAGCTCAAACCAGGCCTAGTGGCTCACTGTCTCTTCCTGCTGCCTGCTGGTCAAGATGTAGAACTCTCAGCTACCTCTCCAGCACCATGGCTGCCTGCATGCTGCAAGGCTCCCCGCCATGATAACGAACTAAACCTCTGAAGTATAAGCCAGCCACAAATAAATGTTTTCCTTTTAAGAGTTGCCTGGTCATGGTATCTCTTCACAGTGTCTAATCCTCCAAGAAAGTCCTTTTACCAAGGTCCGCATTTAGACAAAAGATCCCATTCCCGCAGGGGCTTGAAGAAAGTTCCTGCTAGCTAAAAAGGGAGTCATTTTCCTTATCTTTGGCAAGAGGAACTTGTGGCCCTTCCATTAACATGTGACTGTGGTGCCTATTGTCAAGGTCAGTGCTAACTCTAGGCTCCCCCAGTCCCTGCTCACCCGCCCCACCCCAGCTCACAGGCCCCTTTTCTCCAGTTCCCATTTAACCCTGGAAAACCTCCCCTTTGTCCCTTCTCCCTGCTTTCCTGGAAGACAGCTATTGCAGTTCGGAATAAACTTTTCCCTTTTCACTCATGAGATGGCTACTTCTTTACTGCGCCCATTTTCATTCACATAGCAATAGAAACCCTAGCGAGGACACTAGCACACACATGGTCCTGCGTTTGATCCCCACAACTATAAAGTAGGTGTGGGGGTGCATACCTACAATCCCAGCACTGACTAGGTGGAGGCAGGAGAGTTTATGGTCATCCAAAACAACATAGTGAGTTCGAGACCAGTCTGGGCTACATGAGACCAAGCCTCAAAAAAAAAAAAAAAAAGAAGAAAGAAAGAATGTAGAAGTGTTGCGGGGTGGGTAGGGTAAGGCGCAGGAGAGATGGCTCAGCAGTTAAGAACACAAAGGCAAACAAAACAAACAAACAAAAACAGTTCTTTGCTGGTCATGGTGGCGCACGCCTTTAATCCCAGCACTTGGGAGGCAGAGGCAGACAGATCTCTGTGAGTTCGAGGCCGTCCTCGTCAACAGAGCTAGTTCTAGGACAGCTAGGGTTGTTACACAGAGAAACCTTGTCTTGGGAAAAAAAAAAGAGCACTTGTTGTTCTTCCAGAGACCTGGGTTCAATTCCTAGCACCCACGTGGTGCTTTACAACTATCAGCAACTCAGTTCCAGGGGATCTGAATCTATCTTCTGATCTCCGTGGGTACTGGGCGTGCATGTGTGCACATACATACAGGCAAAACACTCATGCACACAACACTTAAAAAACAGTTGTGTTTCTGAGCACAGGATTCAGACTGGCTGTGCTTTAATCCCGGCATTTCCTCTCCTGGAGAGTGGCCTGGACCAGCGAGGAGAAGCCCTCCTCCAGCTCAGAGGAAAACAGGACATCTTCCAGAGGCAGGTGCCTCCAGGTCACCCTGCAGTGGTAGAGTCGGGAAGGGGCTGTTCTAGGCCGAGCAGGAGTGGAGGATGAGGCTCAAAGGCAGAACAGTTTTGTGATGCTGTGGGTGGGACAGAGCAGATGTGCCCGAGGGACAGGCAGGAAGATATATCCTGCAGGGCTTTGGAAGAAGTTGTCCCTGGGGGTCTTAATGAGGGAGGGACAGGTTAGCCTCTGTTTTAGCAGATCCCTTTGGCAGTGGGGTCAAGAATGAACCAGCAGAAAGACAAATGTGGAGGCAAGGGTTGTAAAAAGGTGAAGGGAAAAGACGAGGGGGTGGGATGGCCTGACCTGGTGGGTGTTTGGATCCTGGCTTCAGTGGAAGAGAGCACTGGGTAAGCTAAGTTCCAAGGTTGTAAAAAGATAAAGGGAAAAGACGTAGGAGGTGTTTTGGCCTGACCTGGTGGGTGTTTGGGTCCTGGCTTCAGTGGAAGAGAGGACTGGGTAAGCTAGGTTCTCACCACCCTCCTGTGTTGTCACATCTCTGCTCCTCTAGACCTCTTACCTGGCAGGCATAGCCCTCGGGCTGGGCCACACAGGTGGCCCCGTGCTGGCAAGGCTTGGACTCACAGGGGTTCACATTATCCTGGCATAACCTGCCTTGGAATCCAGGAGGGCACTGGCAGAAATAGGAGGAGCCCCTGTCTATACAGAGGCCTCCGTTCTGGCACAGGTCAGAGACCTCTACGCCTGGGAAGACAGACAGGAAGGGATGGAGCTCAGCTGGGTGGAAGGGTTCTCGGCACCCCCCCCCCCCCCGCCACCTGCTCCCCCCCACAGAGTATTCCCTAAGAGGCTAGGCAGGTGAGATGTTGGTGCCGTTGGGTTCTATGTGTTCACTCCAGTGGCGCTCTAGCCGTGGTGGAGCGGAGTGGCTCCAGGTGAGACATGCTGCTAGTAATTGTGTTACATTGGAGTCTTGCCTGGGCTATTGATGTTAAATAGAGTGGAGCTGTGTAAGACTGTCCTGTGTGTTGAACTGTGGAATAAGTTACTCTAGTTTCTCTTGGTCGTTTTGGCTGTGACCCAAGCTGTGTGGCTGCCCTGGGGACTGGGACAAAGGAGGACTCTGCTCCCCAGTCGGTCCTGGGGATGATACCTTGGCTCAAGGCAGCCTTCTGGCAGGACACGGGGAGGTCACAGTGAGGTCCTGCCCATCCCTGGAGGCACAGACACTGGAAGGAGGGTCCACTCCGGAGGCATCGGGCAGTGTGTGGGCAGGGCTTCTGGGCACACAAGTCTACTAGAGTCTGAGGGTTGGAAGAGAATGTGAGATAGGAAGGCCAGCGCTCCTGGGACCCAGAGATGAGCAAAAGCTCTCATTTCTAAGACGGACATGCCTGCGGAAGGGCTGAGCCGATGACCTCTCTGACTTCTCTCTTCCCGTTTCAGTACAGTCTGCAGGGTCAGAAACTCATCCAGCTCACCCCCAACCCCCAGACTTGGCCTCAGTCTTGCTATGTAGCTGAGGCTGGCCTTGAACTCTCGATTCTTCTGCCTCTGTCTCCCAAGTGTGGGGATTACAGGTGTGCACCACTATGCCTGGCTTTCCTTCCTTCTTCGCCTCACACCCCAGTGAGAAGCTAACCCTAGACATCTGTTTCCCCGTTGTTGCTCACCCGTTAGTCCCCGAGACCCCACTAGCTAGAGCTCTCCAGCCTCTCCCACTTGGCACATCTGGCTTTATTGCACCTCACCTGGCAGCTGCTTCCTGTAAAGCCAGGGTTGCAGAGGCAGCGGGCGCCCTGAGGTGTGTCTTGGCAGGTCGCCTTGTTCCTGCAGGGGCTGGACAAGACAGAGATGGTGTGTAGGAAGGTCTGGGAGATGGGGAGTGTGTAATGTGGGGTAACAAGTTTGGTTGTGGGGAAATGGTAGGTCAGCTCCATGGAGGAGGAGCAGCCAGAGTGTGGGGGAGCTGTGGTAGCACAGAGCCCAAGGAGAGGTAGAGAGGAAATGGGGGGCTGAGGGTTCCTCTGCTCTTCTTGGGGGGGCCTCACACCATGCTCACCTGTCTGCACAGCTGGGGCCAATCTTCCCCTCACAGCGAAGCCCCTGGAAGCCCGTGGCACAGAGGCAGAAGAAAGTGTCAGGCTTGTTCACACAGGTACCCCCATTGAGGCACGAGGCTGGAGAGAGGAGTCTGTGAGGGGTTGGGTTCCATGCCTGTAACCTGGCCTGTGACCTTGGTCACACCCAGCACAAAGGTTGTCCACCTCTCACCAATACAACTTACTGCTGTCCAGTTAGCTATTTAAAATTGTTTTTGCATTTATATGGTGGGGTTATGTGCACGTCACAATGGGCATGTGGAGGTAAGGGGACAACTTGAGGGGTCCGTTCACTCCTACCATGTGGGTCCTGGGGAGCGAACTCCTGTCTTTAGGCCTGGCAGCAAGGGCCTTGACCCTCTGAACCACTTCTCAACCTCTAATCTATTTGTTTAACAGGGTCTCATTGAACAGAACATATAGCCAAAGATGGCCTAGAATTCCTGATTCTCTGCTCCCATCTCCTGAGGGATTACGGGTCAGCACCGCCATGCCTTGTGGTGCTGGACGTTGAATCTGAGGCTTTATGGGCGCTAGGCATGCCCTCTACCAACTGCACTATATCCCCAGCCTCCAGGTACAGTGTCAGTGTCACCCACACGGTGCCCAGCCCCCGCCACCTGCTGTGGTTCACAACCCAGGACAGCACTCACCAGACACACAGTGGTCAAGGACGGATTGGCAGTGGGGACCTGTGTGACTTGGAGGGCAGGTGCAGGAATAGCCCTCAGGGCTGGTGCTGCAGGTGCCACCGTTGAGACAGGGCCCTGAGTGACAAGCTGTCACCTCCTCATTGCAGGACAGTCCTGAGGGGACAGGTGAGCTCTGAAAAGGTGGGCTTCTCCTCTCTACTGTCTTGCTTTATGCTTTTCACTTCCTTTCTCACCCCTGTCCCATAATCCCTTGTGCCATCCAACCTCTTCCTTCTGCCTCCCAAGCGTCACTGGTGTCCCCCCACAGCCCACACTCAGTTCCCCTCGCAGAGCTCAGAGCCGCAGCTTTGACTTGTGGGTGCTGTAGGCTGGAGTGCACATGGGATAGGGAGAGACTCACCCATGTAGCCTGGGGGGCAGGTACAGTTGTAGCCAGAGGGCTGGGGGTGGCAGGTCCCCCCATGGGCACAGGGTGTGGAGATGCATCCCCCAAGCTCGGTCTCGCATTCTGGCCCCGTCCAACCCGCATCACACACACACGAGGATCTGATCATAAAGAAAAGGGGAAGGGTCCCTCTCTCTCCCTCCCTTCTCCTTTTTGTCTCTGGGACTCTTGTTTGCCTCCTTTCCATTCTAAGGAACTCTTTTACCCATTATTTTTATGTGTATGGGTATTTTGCCTGCACGTGTATCTGGGCACCGTGTGTGTGCCCGGTGCCTGTGGAGGCCAGAAGATGTTGGATCCTCTGAACTGGAGGTGTGATGGTTGTGAGCCACCATCTAGATCCCTGTCCTCTGCAAGAGCAGCCAGTGCTCTTCTTTTTTCTTTTTTAAATTAATTTTTAAAAATTTATTTTATGGCTGGGCGGTGGTGGTGCACGCCTTTAATCCCAGCACTCAAGAGGCAGAGGCAGGTGGATCTCTGTGAGTTCGAGGCCAGCCTGGTCTTCAAAGCGAGTTCCAGGACACGCTCCAAAGCTACACAGAGAAACCCTGTCTCGAAAAACCAAAAAAAAAAAAAAATTTATTTTACATACCAACCACAGTTTCCCTCTCTCCTCTCCTCCTGTTCCCTCCCCCCACCTCCTTCCTACCCCCTCTGCTCCCCCATCCACTCCTCAGAAAGAGTAAGGCCTCCCATGGAGTCAACAAAGCATGACATATCTAGTTGAGGCAGGACCAAGCTCCTCCCCGCTGCATCAAGGCTGAGCGAGGCTTCCCACCACAGGGAAAAGGTTCCAAAGAGCCAGCTCCCGTACCAGGGACAGATCCTGGTCACACTGCTAGGGCCCCACAAACAGACCAAGCTACCCAACTGTCACCCACATGCAGGGGCCCTAGTTCAGTCCCATGCAGGCTCCCTGAAGCCAGTGCTCTTAACCACTGAGCCAATTCTCCAAGCTCCACTCCTTTTTTTAAAAAAAAAAAACTTAAAAAAAAAGATTTTAGGTAGCCCAGGCTGCTGGCACCTTCAAATTACTGTGTAGCTGTGGATGAGGCACTCTACCAACTGAACTAACTCTCTCTCTCTCTCTCTCTCTATATATATATATGTATGTATGTATGTGTGTATATATATGTATGTGTATATATATATGTATGTGTATATATATATCTATATCTATCTATCTATCTATCTATCTATATATATATATATCTATATCTCCTCCCTATCCCTTTCTCTCCAGGGTCTCCTGTGCCTCAGGCCAGCCTCAAAACTCACTGTATAGCTGCCTGTGGCCTCCCTCGGCTGCCTGATCCATTTGCCTTGACTTGGATTGCAGTCATGTGATCACACACCTGGCTAGTTCTGTGTCAGGAAGGGTCCACACAAAGCTGCCCAACAGATACTTACTTAACGAGAGACGAAGCAGCCCTGGTATGTATGCTTTTCTCTCTGCCCTGACCCTCTAGTCCTCCTCTGCTATCTTGATGATGCTCAGACTTTCCCTCCAGGGACCGCTCATCAGCTGTGTCTCCCTTTCTCTTTCCCAAGGAAGCTTGCCATCTCCTTCCTGTTCCCCATCAGGCCGCGTCCCACTGGCCTGCACCCTGCCCCCACGCTGTCTTCTTCTGTCCTAGCGGAGGCTGATGGGGAGGAGGGCATGGTGAAGGCTGTGTTACCTCTGGCAATGGCCATGGTGGCAGGTGCAGTTGTCCTGGGCAGGGACACAGCCAGGACTTCCGTCAGGGCAGAGGCAGTGGGCTCTGTCTTCCTGATCTTGGCATTGCTGGCCAGGTTGGCACAGGTTTGGGGTGCACAGGGGAACTTCACAGAGCTGGCCTGTGTGGGTGGGTCGGAGAGGGAAGTGAGTCTGAGAGGGAAGGAAGCCCCTGTATGTCCCGAAGGGTCAAAGGCCGGTGGGCATGGCTTTCTCACTCTCCATGCACCTGTCTTTTCTTGGTCTCTCTTGGGACACCAACTGTCTTCCCTACGTCCTTGCCCTGTTCCTTCCTGAGCTCTGGGCTCCTGTAGCTCCCCGAGTGGAGCTTTTCCCCTCCCAGCTTCAGCACAGTGCCTGGCCTTCTGTTTTGACCTGCTCTGTTCTCAAGGCCACTTCCTGCTCAAAGCCTTTTCCTTTGCAGTCCGTGTTGGCTGGAATCCTGTGCTCCCGAGGAAAGACACGGGGGCTCATAACTGAATGTAGGAGTTACAAAAATTTTAACAACAGTAAAGTTTTTCTAACATACAATGACTAAAAATTAATTCAAAAATCAAATGCAACACGAGCCTGAGATGCTTGTATCATGCAGCGGCTGCATGCAGCCTTGGTTCTGAACACACAGACCACCCCACTTTCTACTGCATGTGTCCCTACCCCACAGTGTTGATGACAAAGCCGGCCAGACACATTATCATGTGTCATACACTGTGGTGTTTTTACGGTACACACGGAGTTTCCCATCTTGTAGTTTATGTCAGTTTAATGATAGGAAACAAAGACTTCATATATTCCTGTTCTCAGTCCTCAGCATGGAGCAGCAGGTTAGTTTATCTGGCTTGTCTTGTCTTCTGCAAACAGCCAGATCCATCTCAGAAGTGTGCAAATTTTCTATTGGTCTTTAGCAAATGGTCAAATTATAGGTATATCAAAGAATTGTTTTAAAGTAAGTGTCTTTATGATTTGTTATTAGTGCATGCTTGATTGATATACTTATTTTTATATACTTTTAGGTTTGAAGTTGAATAAAAATTTCTTGAGTGAAGAGGGGTCACAGGTGGATTGAAAGTTTAAGGCCCGACTGACCTATCGGACCCTGGGCACTCTCTCTGTCGCTCAGCCGTGGTCAACAGGAAGTGCGCTCACCCTGCATCGGATTGAAAGCTACCTGACAACCAACTGTCAGTCTTGCATCTGTGCCTGCTGTTGTGACATTTACTAAATTAATTAAAGTTATTTATTCATTTAGTGTGTGTGTTTATGTGATGTGTGTGTGGTAGGTGTGTTTGTATGATGTGTGTGATGTCTGGTGTGTGTGTGAGATATGTGATGTATGAGATGTGTGTGTGTGTTGGTGTAATGTGTGTGTTGTGTGTGTGTGTTGTGGTATGGTGTGTGTATGGTGGTATGGTGTGTGTATGGTGGTATGGTGTGTGTGTGTGTGTGTATCTGTGTGTATCTGTGTGTGTGTGTGTGTGTGTGTGTGTGTGTGTGTGTTGGCAGGCATGTGCCATTGGCACTGCCCAGATGACCCCCTGCAGAGTCAGTTCTCTCCGTCACCTCACGTGGCTGTGAGTTTTGAACTCAGGTTGTCAGGGTTACAGTTGGTCACACTGACCTCCTGTTTTCTGTGGTGCTGAGGACTGAACCAGGGACTCAGGCACACTTGCCAAGGTCTTTGCCCCTGAGTCGCACTTCCGGCTCTCACTGTAAGTACCTTTTGCACTGACTAGTTTAAGGGGCGTCCTCTCATTCTGTTTTCACATCCCGAACATCACACACCCTCCAGTGGGCTCTTCCCCCTCCAGTGGGCTCACACACCCTCCAGTGGGCTCTTCCTCCTCCAGTGGGCTCACACACCCTCCAGTGGGCTCTTCCCTCTCCAGTGGGCTCTTCCCCCTCCAGTGGGCTCACACACCCTCCAGTGGGCTCTTCCCCCTCCAGTGGGCTCACACACCCTCCAGTGGGCTCTTTCCCCTCCAGTGGGCTCACACACCCTCCAGGGGGCTCTTCCCCCTCCAGTGGGCTCACACACCCTCCAGTGGGCTCACACACCCTCCAGTGGGTCCACACACTCTCCAGTGGGTCCACACACCCTCCAGTGGGCTCTTTCCCCTCCAGTGGGCTCACACACCCTCCAGTGGCCTCTTCCCCCTCCAGTGGGCTCACACACCCTCCAGTGGGCTCACACACCCTCCAGTGGGCTCTTCCCCCTCCAGTGGGCTCTTACCCCCTCCAGTGGGCTCACACACCCTCCAGTGGGCTCTTCCCCCTCCAGTGGGCTCACACACCCTCCAGTGGGTCCACACACCTCCAGTGGGCTCACACACCCTCCAGTGGGCTCTTCCCCCTCCAGTGGGCCCAAACACTTCCAGTGGGCTCTTACCCCCTCCAGTGGGCTCACACACCCTCCAGTGGGCTCACACACCCTCCAGTGGGCTCTTCCCCCTCCAGTGGGCTCTTACCCCCTCCAGTGGGCTCACACACCCTCCAGTGGGCTCTTCCCCCTCCAGTGGGCTCACACACCCTCCAGTGGGTCCACACACCTCCAGTGGGCTCACACACCCTCCAGTGGGCTCTTCCCCCTCCAGTGGGCCCAAACACTTCCAGTGGGCTCTTACCCCCTCCAGTGGGCTCACACACCTCCAGTGGGCTCACACACCCTCCAGTGGGCCCACACACGTCCAGTGGGTCCATATATCCTCCAGTGGGCCCACACACCCTCCAGTGGGCCCACACATCTCCAGTGGGTCCACACATCCTCCAGGGGGCCCACACACCCTCCAAGTGGGCCCACACACCTCCAGTGGGCTCACACACCCTCCAGTGGGCTCACACACCCTCCAGTGGGCCCACACACCTCCAGTGGGCCCACACACCTCCAGTGGGCTCACACACCCTCCAGTGGGCTCACACACCCTCCAGTGGGCCCACACACCCTCCAGTGGGCCCACACACCCTCCCAGTCCTTTCCCTGTCTCCTGACCTGTGAAGCCAGAATGGCAGAGGCAGAAGAAGGCTCCTGGGAGGTCAAGGCAGCTGGCTCCCGTGGGGCAGGGGTCACTCAGACACTCGTCCACCTCAGTCTCACAGCGTGGCCCTTCAAAGCCTGTGGCATGGGGGAGGGTCAGGGACTGCACCGATGGTCCCCTCCCCAGGTCTGAACCTCAGTTTACCTGGGAGACACTCGCAGTGGAAGGCTCCAGGCCGGTCTTGGCAGTGCCCTCCATTGGCACAGGGAGCACTACCGCACTCATCCATGTCTTCCTCACATCTGGCACCGGTGAATCCTGGCAGGGGAGGGGGTGGGAAGGGACAGTGTTCACGGTCATGCAGGGAGGCGCAGCGGTGAACAAAAGTGCGTCTTCTGATGAGACTCAAGGTGGGTGGGCACAGCAACAGAAGCAATACAGAAAGAGTGGAGCTCAGCGCCTGCTGGCTGTGGGGCTCTGTGCTGTGGGCAAGCTACCCAGCTTCCCTCCCGTTCTCATTTCTTCCTGTGTAGAGTGAGGGGTAGGAGCAGCAATGGCGCCTGGGCTGGGGGATGGCTCCGAGGTAGAGTGCTTGCCTTAGGCACTCATGCCTGCCTCCCCAGCACTGATAAAGAACCCCTCATGTTACCATGGGAAGGAGACATTCTCTGTGTCCGTGGTGGCCAAAGCCAGCCTTCCACCCGAGGATGTGCAGGGCAGTACACAGAGGACAGGGGCATCTTGTCAGGACAGAGGCGAGTGTGGGGAGGAAGCAAGGGAGGGTTGGGGGACAAGACGGAAGAGTTTGGGGTGCTGAAAAGGAGTGGGAGAAACAGGCTGTTTGGCCAAGAAGGAGGGGCCTTCGAAGGGGTGCTGGCCTCCAGAGGTTCCCTGGGGACAGAGGTTGGCTGGACCAGAATCTTCACCCACCCGGAAGGCAGAAGCACAGGAAGCCGTTGAGCAGGTCATGACAGGCAGCTTGGTTCAGGCAAGGGTCAGAGGCACACTCATTGGTCTCCACTTCGCAGAGCCTCCCTTCCAAGCCTGAGGACACAGACGTGGTGAGAAGTGGGCCCAGCCAGGCTCAGCCAGGGGCCACTGGGCTTTCTGCCTGGGATCCCTGTGCTCTGCAGCAGCCCTGCCTTGGATTGCAGAGTAAAACCCAGTGTGGTCTGCCTGCCTGTGCTGCACTGATGAGCCCTGAGGCTTAGCTGCTCTGGGGTGTGACTGCTTCCCCCAGGTCTGCAGGCTCAGGGAGCAGGGTGCCTGCAGAGGACCGAGAGGAAGTGCCCTTTGAAGCCCTTTCTGTGTGCCTAGAGGGTGGGGCTCACCTGGTGGGCTGCCCAGCCTGGAGGTTCTTGAAGTCCAGTGGGAAAGCGGGCGTCTGTCTGGAGGGTGATTCAGCCCTCAGGTGCTATCTAGGCCTCTGTGCCAGGGGAACAGGGATCCTGGCAGGGGTGTGGTGGTGGTGGTGATGGTGGTGGTTGTGGTGGTGTTGGTCATTGTGGTAGTGATGATGGTGATGTGATGGTGGTGGTGGTGGTGGTTGTGGTGTTGATGTTGGTGGTAGTGATGGTGATGATGGTGGTGGTTGTGGTGGTAATGGTGATGATGATGGTGTTATTGCTGGTGATGACGTAATGGTGGTAGTGATGGTGATGATGGTTGTCTTTGTGGTAGAGATGATGGTGATGTGATGGTGGTGGTTGTAGTGTTGTTGTTGATAATGGAGGTGGTTGTGGTATTGCTGTTGATAATGGAGGTGGTTGTGGTGTTGTTGATGATGGTGGTGGTTGTGGTGTTGTTGATGATGGTGGTGGTTGTGGTGTTGTTGATAATGGTGGTGGTTGTAGTGTTGTTGTTGATAATGGAGGTGGTTGTGGTGGTGTTGATGATGGTAACGGTAGTCATGATGGTGGTGGTTGTGGTAGTGGTGGTAGTGATGGTGATGGTGGTGATGGGGCTGGAGTAGGAGGATTTGAATAAAGGCACCCCAGAAGCAGAGTTGCTCCCGTTTTTACCTTTAAGTTCACCCTAGCCTCAATGGTCTCACGGTCAGCCTTCTGGCCTCCCTGTCCCCTCCTCTTTCTCGGGGAGCTTTGACACCTCTTGCTACCTGTAACTTGTCCCCTGGATGCGGTTTCTCTACTTCTCTGTGCTTGTCTGTGTGGCCTGAGCCGTGATGCTTGGGTGCTGCTCGGCTTCCAGCAGTGGAGTGGTTAAAACCGTTGCAGCTCAGGGTTTGAATCTTGGCTCTGCTCCTCACTGACAGTGTGACCTTGGATAAGTCTCACTCCACCTCTTTGTGTCCGGTTTTTAAATTTATGAAATGGGGATACAGTGTTCACTGCTCTCTCCTTCCTTCTCGCATGGAGGCAAGAGCGCGGCAGCCCCGCGGGCAAGAGTGTGGGCGGCCCCGCGGGCGGGGCGCGAGTTCGGGCAGCCGTGCTGCATTCCTTTCCCATTGCACCCCCCCCCCCCCCCCCCCCCCCCCCCCCCCCCCCCCCCCCCCCCCCCCCCCCCGACACACACACCGTCCATGTGGAATTTCAAGGGTTGACACTTCATCTCTCCCTGGGAGAGTGTGTAATTAAGGGGGACGTCCTGGGCTGGTAGGAACAAAGCGGCAAATGTACTGTCATTCTGTCTGGGCCACTGTGTACAGTGGATCAGGATGTACGCTCTGTGATGATCCTGGGGTGGGTGGAGTACCCTGCCCCTGGATTATGCAGTGCGCGGCCTCATGACAGGGCAGCCCCCCTTCTCCTAGGGGCCACGGGTACCCCAGCTTTAGCTGGGAAAAACTGAGGCCGGTCACTCTGGGTCTGAAGTCAGTTCTCCGTGTCTCCCACCTGCGGCCCCACCCGGCTAGCTGTACCTGGTGGGCAGATGCAGTGGAAGGTGGCAAGTAGGTCCAGGCAGGTGCTGCCCGGGCGGCAGGGCTGGGACAGGCACTCATTGTGGTCAGCCTCGCAGCGGGAGCCCGTGTAGCCAGGTGGGCAGAGGCAGTTGAAGGAGCCGGGGGTGTTGAAGCAGGAACCGCCGTGTTCGCAGGGACTGGGTCCTTGATGGGCTGGGAGGAGAGAAGAGCTGAGAGTCCACAGAGGCCAGGGCTGGAAGGACAAGGAGGCTAGAGTCTCGGGAAGGCGTGGGGGCTGTCTGTGGAGACAGGACTGATCAGGGAAGGGGGCTATGTATTTATAACGGAGGACAAAGGGACAACCTGAGGGGTTTGGAGGGCTGAGCACTGGGAGAAGAGGGTTGACCAAGTCCAGA